TGGGGGGGGGGGGGCAGATGGGAGGAGGTCCCTCAGACCCTTTGCAATGTTTTGCAGGTGTTCATATTTGAATAGTTTATTTAGCCCTCTGAGCTGACCCCTCTGAAGCCCGGGAAGGCGTTTTGTTAGCGAGGGCGTCTTTGGGGGGCGGCCTCTGGGAACAATAGGATCAATAGGCGTCATTTGGATGGGCTGTGGTTGATTGGCAGTCTTCACCTGAGTTCACGTTAGGGTCCCAGTTTTTTGGGCGGGCTGTATGTGGCCAGCTGCGCCTTCTACCACGAGAGTTGTTACCAGCGTTTTTGTTTCATCCCCGCTTTTGTTTTGTTCCCTGTTTGACTGCCCCTGAAAGACACTGATTGTTGTTGTTTGATCCTTCGGATAGCCAGGATGGTGTCTTTGTGACCGCAAAACGAATTGCTCCCCTTGTTTTTTTTTCTGCAGCGGGGGAAGACTCTGTGGAGCATCGTCTGCTCCTATCAGTTCCTGCTGGTCATTGATTGGCAATTCCGCCGCTGGCTGGCCCCGGGTTCCAACTGCATACCCGGTAGCTAAGGTCACTGTTTCCGTTGTCAGGTCGTTTACAGTCTCTTCAGACTGAATTCTCAGGGCTTCCCCTTTTGCTACGTCTTTACATGTGGCCGACCACCGTACCACAATCCCTGGAATTGGCGCCTCCCCTTCTCTCTGTCCGTTTACCGTTTCTCCCGACTGAGATTGTAGGGCATCCACCACTGCTGTGTCTGTCAAGGTGGCTGACCGTCGTACCACCATCCTTGGTAGTGGCGCCTTTTCACCAGCCTGTCCCCTGCTTCCTGTTGTGTCCTCCGTGGATGTGGCTATGGATTCAGTGGCCTGCCCGTATGGGGGTGGGGAAGTCTCTTCCATCCGGGTTAGTGGGGTTGGCCCCTTTGCCAAGTCTGTAGAGGTAGCTGGTAACCCCACCACAATTTCGTCCCCCCGCACTTCTCCTGTAGTGACCAGCAGCCCGGGAGGTGAGGGAGTCTCTTCCAACTGCGTTTGTGGGGTTGGCCCCTTTGCCAAATCTGTAGTGGTGGCTGGTAGCCCCACCACTATCTCATCCACCAGTACCTCTCCTATTGTGGCCGGCAGTCCTACCACTAGAGCCTCCACCTTCTTTTCTCCCGTCGTGACTCGGGCCCGGTCTCCCCCCCCCATCCCCTGATCCGTGGACAGGTTGTCTTCCTCCAGTTGTCGCCCCGGGGTCGGTTGATGTTGAGGGAGCATATCTGTAACAGGTTTCCTTGCCATGAGTTCCGTTTTAGCAGCTTTCTTCTGCATATAGACTGCCTCTTGGTGACCCTGGTCCGGCCGCTGCAAGGCAAGAGACTGAGGTTGATTCTCTTGATCCTCCGTTAGATGTTTGTGGGTGTCGTCCTGTCCCCTGATTTCTCGACAGTGCTTTCTTATCAGTGGAGGGTTGCCCTCATCGTCTTCCTCGTCATCGGACAGGACAACGTTTGTTCGTGTAGCAATTTGCAGGGGGGCCGAGGACCTCTGGTCATGCGCAGGGTAACCGGGAGAATTGGTTGCCCAGTTGTCGGGTTTGGACAGGTTGCCGGCTGTTTTTGTGCCGGGCCGCCTTCAACGACGGGAGGGGAGGGGGGGGGGTCCCGTGGCCTGCGCACGACTTGGGCAGAGGTCTGGGGAGTTTTCTCCGGTTGTCCTTTTCCTCTCCAAATCCAGCAGCCCGGCTTGTCCTCTGTCTGGACGACGAATGCCTCTTCCTTTGGGAGCCATGTTCGGGGTTGGTTGGGGTGAGGGATGACAATGCCTCTAGGGGACTTTCTTTTGGATTTCGGGCAACTTGTCTCCGTGCACAGATGACCCTTTTCCTTGCATGTGTAGCACCACGGGTCCTGACTGTGGCTCACAGGTATAGCAATGGACTTCTCCCCGTAGATGTAGTTCCAGGCGTCGAACAGGGGAAAGGCCTGTGTACTGTCCCATTCAACAGCCACCAAGAGGGTATCATCTCGCTTCTCGAGGAAGGATGGCAGCTCATTCACAAACCCCTTTACCGGAGCAAAAGTTTGCAGATCTTGGATTATTGCCCCTTTCACCGCCAAGGGGGCATGACGAAATTCGACCCAGAAGTTGCTTTCCATAATCTCCTGTCTGCGGTCGTCGGCTGTGAATGGTTCAATTGGTCGCCATCTTTGTATCTGTACTGGCTGCCCCCTGAACCTAAGGTTCTTGAGATTAAGTAGGTTGGCGTGGTCTCTTGGGTAGAGGGCTATGACAGTGATAGTTGCAATCCCGGCCGATTCTATAAGGAAATGGTCCTCCACTTCCCTGGCCGATAATTTGAAGGACCCAATAATGGCTGTCACCCATTTGATTCTGTCATTCATTGCCAACTGTGCCAGGGCCTCCGGAAAGTGGAATTGGACGGCATGCGTCGAGTAAATTCTGTTTCTTGTCGCCACCGCCTGCGGCGGGAACTTGTATATCGGTTGTATGTATCCATCCACTTCCTGATGCATCTTCTCCGGCTTGACGTGTAACCTCTGGATGAAATGACTCCGGGTGGGGTGAATCGAGCTGAGGGCCAGCAAGTTGGTGATCGGCTGCTGAGGAGGTGGAGCCAGCAGCGATCCCAAGGAAGGGAGGGAAGAGGAGGAGTCGGGGGACTGGCCTTGACCTCCAATTCCCCCGTCCTTCTCGGGGGGCTGTCCCTTGAGTGTTGCTACCCATGTTCGAGATTGCGCTGTGCTTTCATTCTTCTTTGTCTGTTGTGTTTGCAGGGGGTTATCAGTCGGGTATGGGGGAGACATGGCCCGACTTTGGGATTGCCTCCTTTCGTCTTTGCATGGTTTTGTTACACCTGCCTGGGATGGCAGAGGTGCAGCTATGGGGCGCCATTGTGACATGCAAGGGGCGGTCCTATATCTCGCTCTGTAAGCATCCGGTTGCGGCCAAATAGGAGCTGGGTGATGCTGCCATTTTTTGTGGAAGGGAAGCCCCCTCCCTTGTGCTCCTCTTTTACCCATAAGGTGGTACGACGACACTTTCCTCCGCCAGGTGGATGTGTCAACAACGCCCCCTTGGCGCCTTGCGTGGAGGACGTAATTTCAGTTATCTCCCTGAGGATTGTTTATCTTCTGTTTCGTTATTCTATTTGCTTGATTATATGATCGCCCGTATCTCATTGTTATTATTTTGGGGCAGCATCACATTTGCTGCACGTTTGGTGAGCTGAGGAAATCCCCCACGGATACTCAGGCAAAGTCTCCCACAGCAGATCTGTTGCAGGGTACAGATGCACTAATCACCATACATGTGCTGGAGTCAGTTTTATGGCTGTATTTTGCATTGTCAGTCACCTTTTCCGGTAATCATCAGCCTAACAGGAGCACTCATCCGGATTGTAGTCTAGCATACAAGCAGGGCGAGAGTGCTGGGCAACAGGCTAAGTCATGCCTGTACCAGAGCCAGATTTGTGGCTGTGTTTGTTTAGACTCTCGCCATTGCAC